TTTATATTCTTAAAATTGATGAATGAAGAATAAAGAATTGTTATAATATTCATTTTAAGCATATATTATCTATATGCATATTATTTTTACTTGTATATTTGTATATATATATATAATTAAAAATACAAAAATATTTGATTTTTATTAATTTAAATTTTTTCATTATTCAATAATATCTTCATTTTCCTTAAATACATCAATATCTTTTGACGATTCTTTCAATATTTTTAAAATTAAAACCATTAGATGATCTTTGAATAATTTAACTGATTTTAAATTACTTTCATCTGTGCCTTCATATTTAATTATATAATCTACAACATTCCATAATATATTTCGAAATTTTAATAATAGATCTGCAGTCCTAAAAAAGAACAATATAAAATAAGTATTAAGATATGAGATTCAAAAGATAAAAATATAAATACAAACTCTGATTCACAAATCAAATTTATATTCTTTATATCATTTAGAGTAATAATTTTTTTTTCTTCTGTAGAAACTTTATTTTGTATCTGCAAAAAAAAAGTAAAAATTTATAAATTTATAAATTAAAAATCTATAAATATATATTAATATTTATATTTTAAAAAATATACTTTTTCACATTGAACATCATTCTGACTAAATAATAAAACTGATAATGGTGATATCATGCTCGTATCAGAAATCTCAGAATATCTCATAGCATAATCCATTTTATCAATATAAGTTAATAAATCACTTGGCCATTCTTTTCGATTATAATTTACACTTTCATTCTTAATTTTAACAATTTTGTTATTCCTAAAAATTATTATTATATAAATTTCAGCTCTTTTCTATATATTATAATTATATTTTAAATATCTTTTTAAATATTATACTAACTCTATTGTTAAAACATTTGCTTGATGTGTAAAATATTTTTTTTTATAACCATAAGCATTTCTTTTTATCAAATTATTTGTAGCGGCAAATAAAACCGCTCGAATTAATTCATTATTTTCAGCATTTATATTTAAATAATTAAAATCAAATGTCGATGGAATCATTTTGGAGTTTATAAGTTCATTTATATGTATCATACATAATTCTATAAATAATTAATAATTAATTTCAATTTTATTATATATCTTCGAATATTTAATAGACTTACGTTCTACCAATTTTATTGTTTGAATTTTATCATCATTTTTTAAATTAAAAATAAAAGAAAATGATGAGTTATTTTTATCTTTCTTTAAAATATCATTAAAATATTTTAATACAGCTATATGATCACTTGTTTTATGATATTCCAATTTTTTTTCTTTAGAAATTATACATGTATTTGATATTTGATCTAATGAAACATGATGGTTAATGGTAGAAAATGCTGTGACAATTAATAGTATAGGACTTAAACATCTGAAAAAATAAATTCAAATATATTTATTTCGTATAGATACAATTAAAAATAATTTTATGAAAATATTTTAATTTTATAAAAATACTCAATAAAAGATGTGCAATCATAAAATCATATAGTTATAAAAAATATAAATATGATTTAAATTTCAAAAAATTATTTAAATAATTAATTTTATAGAAAAATATAAAATATATTTTATATAAAATTATATATATATAAATCTTTCTTATTAATTATATTACGTACTGAAAAATGCAAGACAATATTATTGCTTTACTTAGTTTTGGAGTTAATGAAATATATGAAACATATTTTCCTAAACTTGTAAGATTTTCATCATCATCGAGAATACCAAGATTTTTTAAAATATTCACACTAGAAATTATTATAGATTCATTAGGTGAATCAATCATACTATTAAAGAAATCACATATTTTCTCATCACTTAATGTTTTACTGATGATAATTGCTTTATCCAATAAGAGTTTAAATATCTCTGGTTTTGGATATAAATCTAATTTATTGTATTCACTTCGAGTAATTAAATGATAACTTTCACCAGATTGTACACGTCCAGCTCTTCCTTTCCTATATATTAATAATATAATATATATATAATAATATATTAATAATATATATATTCTAATCTTTTCTTTGAAAATCAAATTGCAATATATATATATATATGGCATAAAAATTACCTTTGTAAAATATTAGCTTGTGATATGCGACTAAACTTTAAATTAAATAAAGATTTTTGTTCATTCCATTGTACTTCTCTCTTAATAGCAGTATCTATAACATATCTTATATCTTGAATTGTAATACCACTTTCAGCTACATCTGTAGCTAAAATAATCTTTGTAAAATTATTAGGAGCTGGTTTAAAAACTTTTTTCTGAATATGATTAGGTACTTTAGAATGAAGAGGTAATATCAATAAATTTTTCATTTCTGTGTT